TAGCCAATCCCTACAAAACATCCTTTTACTAGCGATGGTCATACAAAACCAATACTGATGGATGCAAAAGACCTGGTTTTACGTCAGACCGGACTGGTAGGGAATAGATCAATATCCGGGGACGCGGATGGCTTTTCTGTGAGCAAGTTTGCACCAAAACGAAAGCAAGATAAGCAGCAAGGCCTAACTCAGCAGCACCACTTTATGAGAAAGCGGTTTCCTACCGACATGAAGGAATTGGATTGCTCACATGCGTGTCACATGCGGCTCCCTGCTCCCGGAAACGACAGGGAAACGACATCGAGGACGCGGTCTCGACACCGCCGGCGGATACCGCACGGTCGAGACCCGCGGTCGGTCCGACCGACGGCCGACGTGGCCAACGAGGCGTTTGATGTGGTACCTGGACCACTATCGAGTCTCGGCGGTGGTTTCTGGCGGGAAGTAGACGGCGAACGACCCGGAGAACGGCGAAGGGTGGTGTAGTTGGTGCCATGTGTTGGTGGAAAGGGGTGGAGAGATTGGGGCATGCATGGATATGCATGGTGGGTAGGAAGAGTGGATATAAGGGGTTCCCCAAAGATCTTTCAAATGGCATGCCACAAGACACCGAAGATGGCACCAGCACCTGAAAGACCGAAGAGCAGTTTCTTCCAAGTGCGTGTCTTCCACTTTCATAGTCAGTTAGGTTTGGGGATTGCATTGGGGTTCCTTCTCACAAGTTGTGCCTCAGTGACAGAGCATTACAAGGAGGAAAGGCTAGTTGTTTTGGGGAGTAGGAAGACCCCCAACCAATGGGTAGACTGTAGACTGGTCTATTTCCCAACCAATGGGGTCTGCCTATGTAAATACACACCCATGTTGAGTGTCCATGAGCAGCAGATTGATCAGCGCCCTGGGGCGAGTGCTTATCAAACACCAAGCAAAACAGGCCTCACGTGGCATGTATGGGAGGGGTCTCAGATGGCATCCTTCCTCGCTTGCACAGAAAAGTTTCTAAAGGTCTTCAGTCTTCACTCATGAACATGCTTTTCAGAACCCCAACTGATTCGAAGGTTCCACACTGTTGGGGCTTTTTTTGTGGCACGACGTGTTAAAGAAAGTATATATAAGAAAGTTAGTTAGTGTTAAATATCCTTTCCCCTGTTCAATCCCTTCACCTCCAGCGGAGGTTGTAGGAGAATGTGCCCCCCACCCCAAGTCAACAGCATTGGTGTAGGCTGGGATCAGTGAGGAATGGAAGAGGTACGGGTCCAAAAACAACACAAAGGTCGTTCAAACCTCTCCGACAACGTTCATTTTGTGGCCCAAATGTATGTTTTCAACTGCAAGAGTCTTTAGCGGAGATGTCTCTTAGTTGGCTGAAAGCAAACACTTGCCTCCAAAACAGTTATATCAAAAAGGAAATTCATAGACATATAAATTGCCACCAAAAACACTCAGGCAATTAGGAACCTGTTAAATCAGAAGGCAACCTGTTAAATCCTATAGAAGTTTGCTGACCTGTGGAGAAATTCATCGAAATTCACCAGGTTGACCTGGTCGGGGGGGCAAGCCGCCCTGCCCGGCGACTCCGAGGATTCTTGTACAAGATTCGCCGCGAGCACTACTTCCAGCGCCAACTCCAGGTGTGAGGGCCAGAGGTTAAGTGACCTTACAGGACCCTACAGCGGTACCTATAGGATAGTCCATAGGGTTCTTCAACCTCTGCTGGGATGGTCTACCTAAGAGTCTGGGGTGTGAGGGTTCCCATGCCAAACGGCCTGAATTCCAACCCCGGCGTGGCAGCAAAGCATTGCAAAACCTTGGAAAGTGAAAGCCTTCACCGCTGCACATGGTGCTTGCTGACATTGCTTGCCAGATGCCCTGCCTGAATCAATCTGAATCACCGGGTTTGAAAGCCATCGAACGAATTCTCATCACCGACCCTACAGCGGCCAAAAAGCAGAGTCTCGCAAGCTCCTCACCAATCTGATACCGGCTGTGTATTGACACGTGACCTTCCTACCATGTTCTACCTTCCTTGCTACGCCTGAGGCACCTGGTGCGAGGATTCTGTCTGCCTTCTTGACCCAAAGCCCTTCCTTTCAGAGTCAATGGCACCGACCATCAGCCGCGGTCCTTTACATGGAGGTTCATCTAAACCACCTAGCAGGGGGGATACATTCGACTAACACCCCTTCAACGGGTCCACAGAGGCCACTCTGCGGGGTCACCCTGATCTCTCGGATGGGGGTCTGTGCCATTGGTTCTCGCAATCCAAAGACACTTCGCTGCTCGGCGAATCGTCCAGGAACCTCGCCGCATCTCGCCGCCGCATCTCGCTGGGCCGCAGAGTCTTCTCGTTCTCGGCGGACGGATGGACGACTCGGCTGACGGCTGACGCCGCTCTCTCTCTCTCTCTCTCTCTCTCTCGTTGCTGTGGAAAGCATCAGCGATCAGCTTTTCGAGTTCATCTTCGCTGATTTGGGACTTCTAAGAGACTTCTGACTTGAGACTTGCTTTGAGTCTTAAGGTCCCAAGTCAGATATTTCTCTGCTGATTTTTCTCAAGACTTCTGACTTGGGACCTCAACCTTTTGCACAAAGATATGGTGATGTTTTCCCAATGAACTCAAGATATATGGTGGCATCCGAGCACAGGGTGTTGCACGGGCTTTGAGGATATTGTATACAAAGACTCCAAGTCGACTGGATGTGGCAAGCCAGTTGAAGGTTCAAAGCCGCCCACAAATTCGAAGCACAAAGAGAGTCTGCTAGGTGGGGACTACATTCGCAAAAGAACGTTCTTGAAACCATGCAGAGGTTGTGAAACCAGCTGGTTTCTCCATGTAGGAGTTTCGTTCAAAAAGAAGCCCCATCGGAGAATTGCAACCATTGAATGCTCCCTGGGCGCACAGAATTGAGAAGGCTCTACATTTTCTCCAAGGCTGGTTGTTTCGTGTTGTTTGGGATAAACTTGGTTTGGTGTGGCATCTTTTCCCAGTTCACCCCACGTGCTCGCGGCTGACTTTGCATTGCATCACACGCGCGCGCCCCACCAAAAACAATGAGTGACGTTAACCTCGCAATGCACGCCCCGATGGGGAAAAAATATCATGTGTTTTTGCGCTTTGTTTTTGGCCATGAGTTGACTTTGGCGGTGCCGGTTCTAAGGAGGTCATACTAACTCACGAAGATGCTACTAGCTGCTACTATAATGCTTCACACGGGTCACCACGACGGCTAGCGGTATTTGATTTTAGGTACTTGGAGCGACCATTGACGCTCTCCGGGGCTCAGTGGGAGAAGCGTGCCACGCTTTTTTGCTTGATGGTGCGGAACAGACTCGGCTTCGCGAGACGTGGAAGAACATCACAACAAGTGCTTCTTTGCTTGTTCACGGGCCCCAAGGCCTAACCTTGTGTTGCAGGTCCTTTTCGCGGATGGGTGTTGAGTTTGAACGACGCAGGAGTTCCTGAACACATCAATCATCTATCTCACACTGAGGCCCCAGAGGCGTTGACCCATTCCCATAACTCAAGTCTTGCACACTCACGCATACACACTCACCCACCGTCCGTACCTCTTGGTCTAGCCAAAACAGCCAAGGGAAGAGGGAGGTGCAATTTCAACGAACATAAGCATACATAGCAGCGGTATCCTAAGGTAAGCTTGCCCGACATCTCCCTGCTCCGGTTCTCACTGGTTCTCGCTTCCGGTGGCTCAGGCGTGACCACAGCAACCAGGGTTCGGTCACCAGCCACTGCAGCTACTGGAAAGCTTAGCTTGGAAACCTTGGGGGCATCTTAAAAGCCAAACACTGACCATGGCTAGCTCAACACAGGTGCTTCAGCGGCCCGCTGTCAGGCCCCTGCCTTGCTCGGTGAGGGGTTTGTGATCTGTACAGCCTGGATTGAACTCCTTGGCCAAAACCAGCTGGTTTCTCCACGTAGGAGCTTCGTTCAAAAGAAGCCCCATCAGAGAATTGCAACCATTGAATGTTCCCTGGGCGCACAGAATTGAGAAGGCTCTACTTGGTTTGGTGTGGCATCTTTTCCCAGAAACAAAACGTATGTTTTTGCAATGGCGTCTCGACCCGTGCAAAAAAAAAACATTCGTCTGTTTTTGCACTTTGTTTTTGGCCATGAGTTGACTTTCGCGGTGCCGCTTCTAAGGAGGTCATACTAACTCACGAAGATGTTGCTACAAGAATGCTTCATGGGTCACTGCGACAGCTAGCGGTATTTGATTTTAGGTACTTGGAGCGAGCACCGTTGATGCTTTCCAGGGCTCAGTGGGAGAAGCGTGCCACG